TTTTTTTTTTTTTTTTTTTTTTTTCTTTTCTTTTCTTTTTTTTTTTTTCCTGCTTTACGCTTCCCAGTAACCTCGAAAGCCGGGAGCACCGTCCCCGTAGAAGAGTTCCGAAGCAGCCCTCTATAGCATCGGCTCTATAGCCCCCTCCCCTCGGTGCAACCGAGGCCCGCAGCCCCTTCCCCGCCGCTCTCCGCACATTGCTGGGCTTCGCAAGGAGAGGCTTCTCCTCCCACCCGGACTCCGGGGCACAAGTTAACATCTGAAAAAGTTTACGGGCTGCGATCAGTGGTTATTTTTATCCTGATAGAAAAAATATTGTCCCTCAGCACATCCCTTTGATTCCGTGCTGGGCTATGGGATTCGCACGCTTACTCACTACTGAGTGGAGGCGGCATTTATAATCCAGAGGTTTCCTTTTACAGGGACGGGTTTATTAATATTTTTAGTTTCTCTCTGAAGTACGTCTAGAAAGAGAAAATGACCACCAAAACAACTGCATCGTTTTCCTCGCTTCTTTTTCTTTTCTTTTTTTCCTTTCTTTCTTTCTGCCGTCTATTCTTCATTCACATTCTTCATTTCATTACATTAGCATGTTATCCTCCTTAGAACTCTAACTGGGAAACCACGGAGACATGCTGGAGGCAATGTCCCGATATTAGAGCAGCTGACCCTGCCGATGTGGTTTATGCAGCTGAGAACAACATGAAGCAAAAAGCATTTGTTTCCCCCTCTCTTCATAAGCATGCACTCACTGATACACTTACCCTATGTATACAAACCCCAACATACTTATGTATGTTCTTGTAAATAAATGTGAACATACGTGTGTAAATACATTGGTATATGTATGTAAATACATATATGTGAGTGTATAAATGTGCAAGCATATAAGTGCATATATGTAAGTATGTATGTAGTTATATGAACATATACGTGATGGACACGTATACACTGTATGTATTCGTGTGCAAAACATATAAAGTGTACAGATGTTATATACATGCACATATATAAGCGTGCACGGATGTTATATACATACATATGAATATAGGTATAGGCATATAGGTATATGCGTGCACATAGGTGTGTATGCACACAAATATGAGTGTGCACTTACACATGTACATATGCATGACATATACTTTATGTATTTACATGCCACTATATGGGAGTCTTTCATAACACAAGGAGCACTAGCAGCGGCCTCAGCCCCGGGCTCGCTGCCCCCGCACCGCGTTGTTTCCCTTCCCGATGCCCGGGCGGGGGGGGCCGCTCATCAGAGCTCCCCCCAACCCCAGCGCTGTGCCTCTCTCCACAGCCAGCGACCGGGACTCGCCGGAGTTGCTCGAGGACACGGAGCGGGCGGGCGGCGGAGGGCGGGCGGCGTCGCGGGGCCCCGCGGGTGGGCGGCAGAGCTCCGGAGGCCGCGAGGAAGAGGAGGAACGCGGCGAGGAAGCGGGCGAAGCGGAGCAGAGAGCCGCCGGACGCAAGAAGAAGACGCGCACGGTGTTCAGTCGCAGCCAGGTCTTCCAGCTGGAGTCCACGTTCGACGTGAAGCGCTACCTGAGCAGCTCGGAGCGGGCCGGCCTGGCAGCCTCGCTGCACCTCACCGAGACGCAGGTGAAGATCTGGTTCCAGAACCGCCGCAACAAGTGGAAGCGGCAGCTGGCCGCCGACCTGGAGGCGGCCAACCTCTCCCACGCCGCCCAAAGGATTGTGCGGGTCCCCATTTTGTACCACGAGAACTCGCCGGCCAGCGCCTTGGGCTTCGGCCTGCCCCACATGTCTCCCCCCTTGGTGGGCTTCTCCGGCGGCGTCAGCTACCCCCTGGGCACCTTCCCCGCCGCCTCCCTTCCTTTCCTCCGCTCGCAGATGACGGGACTCGTCTGAGCGCCCACCTGTATCGGGACCGCTGCCCCGAGCCCCCCCCCCCTGGTTCCAGCCTCACCCCAGGACTTTTTCTTTCCACTTTCACCATTTTCCGCTTTTCGACTTTTTTTTTTTTTTTTAAAAAAAAAAAAAAAAAGAAAAGAAAAGAAAACGTGCAATAAACTTACCGCTGGGGTTAACTCAGAGTGGCGCGCAGCAGCCGGACGGAACCCAGATGAGCGCAGCCATGAGCCGGGGGCCGTTCAGAGGCCCCCCCTTCCCATCCCCGCCACGCAGCCAAAGAAAACCCGGCCTCGGTCCCGCGCTGACGCGGAGCGGCGTTTTCCCGGGGGGCCGCAGCCCCTCAGCTCCCCCCCGAGCGGGAGACGAATGTACGGCAGCGCCAGGCCCGGGGGCTCCTCCCGGCCCCGCCACTCCCCCCCGCCCCACGGACGGCGAAGCCTCGGTGTCCCCAACCGCGACCTCCGGACCCTTTTCCCCGCTGCTCCGCGCAGGGTTCGGCGGACCCCCGCCTCCAGCATCTCCTCCAGGGCCCGTTGTTTCAGGCCTCTTAATTGGTACAGATTGTTTTGTTGTTTTTTTTTGCCCCTCTCCATTGTTACTCATTTTCATCCGATCGATACTCTCGGGCATGTGCAGTTCCCCCCCGGTCTTTTTTTTTTTTTTTTTTAATTTTAAGCAACTCGAAGGCAAATTGTTGGAGGGAATGTTATCCCTCCGAAGTCAGAGCTGTGAGGATTTGTTTTCTTTGGTTTCGGTTTATTTCCCTGATTAAAGCGGCCTCTAAAAATACGCGATGGGAAAATAAAAAAAAAATTTTAAAAAATAAAGAGAGAGAGAGAAAGAGAGAGAAATAAGAAATAAATAAGAAAAGCAAAAAGACCATACTGTGTTTTAATAGCTAGGTTTGCCTCCTGTTTGGGTCTCCTAATGGAAGCTGAGGAAAACGCACCTCCACTTTCCAATCTCTTATGGGCTCGGTTTGTTGATTAATAGTTCGCACTGGCAATTAAAAAAAGGAAAGAAGGAATTCAGACGGCAGCAGACCGGGGAGCTGTACGGCTAGTTATGCAAGCTGGACTGTAATGTGATATTATATGAAGTATTATGCATGCCAAGCTTATTTTTTTCCTTTAATAACTGTTTTGTTTTCCCCTCTCTCCGCACTGCTTAAATGAATTTCGGGTCCCGTATTGTTTCCAAAAGTTGGATTTTCTTTTTCTTTTCCGAATATTAAGGTAAAAATGACCTTGCAAAACTCAGCCTTGACGGAAGGTCGGGCTTTGATCCCACGTTTTAGGGCACAATCAGCTGTAATGTAAGCTGGCAACACTCGGGAGAGCAGCCGGGTCCGGGCTCCGTTGGGGTCTGTCTGTACGTGCGATCCGCTCCCCAGAGAAGGAATGGCGATCCGATTCTCACTGTTCACTCCGCTTTGCATTGCATTGGGGGCGATCTCACGCTTTCTTGTTGTGAAATCGATCGGCGGAGCTTCGGCTTTCATACGAAACCCGAGAAGGGTCATGGACGGATTACAACCTCTCCACCGCTACTTTTTTTTTTTTTTTTTTTTTTTTTTTTCCCCCTCTCCTTTTTGGCTTGTAACACGGCTCTGGACATCAGCACTGTTGAAGTAGGGACTCTAAAAGCCTCAAAAGCACTCGAGAATGAAAACAAATGTAACAAAATTAGAGCATACTGCGGATTCCTGCCGGGATGCTCGCTCCCACCTGAGCCCCGTTTTTGGGAGCTGTTTCTCCACTGCTCCGAAATCCTTAGTCTGACTCCGGGAGAGCTTCGCCACGCTATTTTCTTTGCATATCTGTGAAACACTTGGGGTGAAATATCCCCAAAGCGGTGATGTGACCGCGAGGAGCGGAGGAGGACGGGCGCGGCGGTGCCCCACGGGACGCAGAGCCTCGGGGACTTCGGCCTTTTGGAGGTGACTTTGGGCGACGTTCCTTCTTCTGGCTTCAACGTTTGGGTTCCGTGCCGCTCGGAGCCCGGATTGCCTGGAGGACAGCGAGCAGCTCGTCCCCCCCGTCGGACTCAGTTCCCGCCGGGGTAAAACCGGACTCTCCGCGCTCCTATCAATCAGAGCAGATTGTAACCCAGCGCGCAACGTAACGCCCTCCGCTCTCCACATGCCTTTTCTTTGGAGTAACATATGAGATTATTATACTTCTGATTCTACTAAATATATTTTTTTTTCTTGAAGTTAAGGGACTGGCAGGGCTCCACTATCAATCGGATTTTTAAACTGTGTTTTGACATTAGTTCGGGGTTGTTTTTTTTTTTGTTGTTTTTTTTTTGTTGTTTGTTTTTGTTTTCTTTGTTTTTAAAGACGTGCTGATTCTATCAATAAACGGATTTTTTTTCATACACTGTATTTGTAACTTATGATCATAGTAAAATATTAAAAGGTGCAAGACGTGAATTCGTCTAAGAACAAAGTGCTTACTTATGCCTTATTCTGTACGTGCAGGAAGTGCTTTAGAGTCGATTATTAAAAGTGTGTACTGAAAGTGAGAATGCAGGCACTTCAGGATTCTTTATCTCGTAGATTTTTAAAGACTGTTTTCATTGCACCGGTGGCACGAATATTCTGCAGGATGTAGACAAACAGCTCTCATTAGTCATAAATCGGCCATATTCAGCAGGACAAAAAATAAAAAAATTAAAAGCTCACCCCCAAAATGACAGCAACGGATTCTCCGCAGTTTTCTTCCTTACGTATATTTTTATTAAGCAAAGAGGTGATAGCCATGCTCAGTTCTTTAGCAAACAGAATGGTCTATATGTTGGTGGACTCGACAGCTCAAAGCAGTTCTGAGAAGGCTATTTGCGACATACAGAGACATACGTTGCTGCTTTATAGATCAAAGCAACCTCAGAATAGCTTCAAAATAAATCCAGTTATACTACAGCTGTAATATTATTATGCAGCATAAATCCTCCTCTGTTGACATTTACTTAATGAATGCTGCTACAACAGCTTAGCTAGATGGCACTCCAGAGGCGAGGCGGTGGAGAACCTTGCCAGGCTGCTCACAAAGGTACCTTGTGTTTATTGGGAGCTAATAGAAAAAATTAGCGGAAAGGTGGCCTTTTTAGTGCTTTTTTAAGCAAAGCAAAAGAATATCGGCACATGATACGAAGCGACCCCCTGAAATAAACTGGCTTAGCCGCTGTAAGATGTTAATATTAATTACACTTTAAATGAAGGTGATCGATACGCTGAAAAGCACCTTGTTACATGGCTGCACTGCAAATGGTACATCGCTCACCCCCCGAAGATGGTCTATAACTTTTTTCATAGGCATGGGTCTAAAATATTCATGCAAATCAATACTTAATAAATCTAATCGGTGCGCGCTGGCTCCACTGTTGAACAATACATTGAGATCGATTTTTTTTTTTTTTTTTTTCTTTTATACTGCATTACCTTGGGAGAGTCTGTCTGCACCCTTGCAGTGTGTCGGGCTGGGGCGCGCACCCTGTGCCGTGCAGCAATCGGGGCCGCGCTCCTGCAGTAGCGCTGCCGGGCTCCGGTGCCTCCGGCTACAGCCGGGCAAAGCCACTGCTTCCCCCAGCCCAAAGAGCCCAACTGTACGGCAGAATTCTTAGTGCTTCATTTAACTGGCCGGAGGTTCTCAACTCCTCTTACCGATCCTACGTTTTAATTTCTGTGTATAGAAACATATGCATAGCTATGCGTGCCTTACAAGAACTCAGACTTGAGAAGAAATCATGTAACCCTCCCCTCCCCTCCCTTCCCCTTCCTTCCCCTCCTCTCCTCTCCTCTCCTCTCCTCTCCTCTCCTCTCCTCTCCTCTCTTTTCTCTATTTCCCACTCTCTCCCATTCTCCCATTCTCCTTCGTCTCTTATCATCATTTTTATTTGCTCTCCCTTCTTTTGTTAGCAATCCCAGCCATTTGAGCAGCCAGGTATTGTGTTATTCTGAAATCCCCACCAGGATTTCTCTGCACACCTCTTGTATCGTGTGCAGACATGGCATAGAGGTGATTTATCCGACTTCAAATTGACCTTAAGGGCTGACAAAAGCTTTCCAAGAGGGATGTTCTGTCTTGGGGTCACAGAAGGCCTGATCCTGGCTTTATCCAGTACCTGGAGGTGAAGGGTCGGCTCAGACAAACTTTCCCTGAAAAGCCCCATTCTGTGTGACACTTGCAGCTACTGAGTTTTAAATTTGTTTTTTTAATACTTTTTTTTTTTTTTTTTTTTTTTTTTCTTTTTTGGGACAACGTTTCTCCCTGTGACCTGCTTCCCTGGGCTGTGTCCCAGAAGAGGAGTGGGGACAACTTCAAGGCTTCTGCAGAGGGGCTGCATGCTCCTGAGAGGGCCTGTTTACTCCCGACTGCAGTGGGGATAAAGTGATCCCGATCCCCTAAGCCAAGAAAAGGCAGACTCTCACTTTTCTGTAATCCTAATCAGATTTCAATTCAATGAGATTTAGCTTGAGAGTAGCCTAATTTTTTTTTCCTGCTCTGAGCTAAAATGGCAATGCGGATATATATGCCAACCGATCTTCTGTAAAAAGCTTTCTCAGGTAAAAATAATTCCTTTCCTCTCGACTCGAGCTTCTAACAGAGGAATATATTATTAAATGCAAAAGGTCTGCCCCTCGGACTCAGAGGCAGCGTGAAGAAAACGCAGGATGAGAATATCCCAGCGTCGGAAAATCTTTTACTACTGTAGGAAAATCGTTGCATTCTAGAGGTGTGCACCTCGCCTGAGGCCATTTGGGGCCGGGAAGTGAATTGAGATGGTGCCTCAAAGCCTTTTCCCTCCCCCCACTCCCCCGGCTCGCTGTACCCTGGGCTGCTCTCCCCATGCTGAAAATTCATTTTTTCAGCTTCTTCACATTTCTCCCCGCTGCTTCCCGGCCCTCCCCTCGCACTATCGCTCCTTTAACGGGACATTTCCACCCCACCGGCCCCGTCAGCTTGCACAAGGCATTGCAAGACAAACGCAACGAC